AGAGAGAGAGAGAGAGAGAGAGAGAGAGAACAGGGAGCGTTCACAATGAAATTTACGTTTACTTCATGTTGGGTGTTCTTTTTTGTAACCGCGTCTTTTTTTGTCTGAGTATTGTATCTGTTATGATTAAGATACACAGAAAAAGGATACGAGTCTGGATTTCTACGATAACCAGCTTTACTGTTGTGAGAGGAAAGTGGAGGGAAAGACAGGGGAAAAATGCAGGAGGATGTAGGGGAAAATTGGAAAAAGAGGAAAGCATGGGATATTGAGGGGCGGGTCGGAGGGGCGGAGAATAACAGGCAAGGGAAAACGTAGCCGGGGGGAGGGGGGTAGGGCAGAGTTTATATAGGTATAATTTAGAAGCTGCTGCTGCCTAAAAGCTTGATTGTCTTATCAGGTCTACCGTAAAAGCCAAAAAACAATTCTAGCGGTAATGATTGCGTAATGTATTTTTCCCTGAGAGTCTGTGGTTACTGATAAAACCTGAGCAGGCAGTCAGACCTTGGCTAGGATTCTGGAGCCTTTGTAGTGTAGCACAATCTGCCTCCAATCTCTTCAGGCATACTGCTGTGCTGACCTGTCTGCTAATTGGCACTGATATGCCGCTGTATGCCTTGCTCTTTGTTACTCTTGGATTCCTATGACGACGTTGGAAATCTGTGTGTCTCGTTTTCCAATTTCCACCCTCACACACATTCATGCATAAATTGTACACGGGTTCGCCTCAAGGCTTTATTACCGATATTTCCCGTACGGTGAGCGTGCAGTGTTCAAATGATTTAAAAATTGATCTGTGAGTAACACTGCATCGGCGCAGGGCGGTCAATAGGCTTTATTGTGTTTTCCTCGACAGAATTAAACGGGGAGTATTCCTCCGAAAAGGAAGGTCACAGCTCAGTGAGCAGGAACATTGAAATGCTATTATTTTTTTTCTTGTGTGTGCTCTTTCCCTTTTCTTTCTTTCTTTCTCTCTACATCATGAGCACTTTCCTCTCCTCGCAGAACTACTGTACAGTCCTGTAGCTGTTAGAATCCATTCTCTACTTCCAGCGAGTACGGTTCCATTAAAATGGAGGACGACAAACTTAGGTGGTACAAAAAATTATACATTTTGTATTATTCAGATCCAAATGTGAAGGAAACTGTGAATACACGTTTGGCTGTTTTAAAAGATGACCGACACCGGGGGGGAATACAGGGCACTTAGAGAAGAGACAGGTGTAAAATAGAGCCAGCCTACGTTGGAAAGTTGCACTGATCCACTGAATTTAGTTGATGCACCAGAGATATCATTCTGATAATGCGATTTGCAAAAGAAAGGTTCTACTTTTCGTTCACATAAAGTAGGTTGGATCTGTAGCGACAGCAGTTTTGGGAAGTTTATTCCTTTTAATGATTATGTGTTTTTTGTTTTGTTTTTGTTGTCTTGAGACACTCTCTTACACTCACGCTCGTTCGTTTGTGCCCCTTCACTATGTCCTTTTTTTTACAGTTCTCTTCCTCCCTCACCTCTGTCTCTGTCTCTGTCTGTCTGTCTCTCTCTTTTTCTCTCTCTCCGTCTCTCTCTGTCTTTTTCTGTCTCTGTCTCTGTCTCTCTCTGCCTCTCTTTGTCTCTGTCTGTCTGTATGTCTGTCTGTCTGTCTGTCTGTCTGTCTGTCTGTCTGTCTCTCTCTCTGTCTCTGTCTCTCTCTCTCTGTGTCCCCTTCACAAATATTACCAAAACATGCTTAAAAAACCAACAACAAACAAACAAACAAAAATGCACAGATAAAAGCAGAAACACAGAGAATAGGCTGCACAGTTCTGTTGAAACTTCTAAACAAGAAAGCGCCAGTTGATAGGAACGGGCAGGGGGAAAAGCACGCTTTGCTTTCTCTTCAGCCCCTTAACGTTGCTTTCTTGCCATAAAAACACAACACTTCCCTTTGTCTACCTAAACAACAAATGTCTGAAGTCACCAAAAAATCCTTTTCGTTAGGGCGCTGTGAATATTATTCTGAAAGTAAATGCATTTCACAAGCACCTGAGAGCGGGGGTTTACAACTTCTTTCCCAGATGTGGAATTCGAATCTTCACAGGGCCCACATTGGTGGTGAAATTCAAACGAAAAGGCTTTCTTCCGTGCATGGAAAAAAGATCCAACGGTTTAACGCCTCAGGTATCTCCTTCTCCTTTGAAACAATACAGTCGTGTCTTTTGAAAGTACAAGTTGTAGACAAGAGCGGAACTTTGTTTTCGAAACAATCTCGGACAGAAAAGAAGGCTACAGGTGATTGCTCTTTGGTGTTCTCTCCAGAGCATTGCAGTTTGTCGGAAAACACGTATGTTGCAAAAGCGGGTGGTTGGAGGGTGTCTCTTGTAGGTCCTTCTCCTATATTAACTTCCCAGTATTGTCTGTGTCTGCCTGTGCTACTTTTTCCCTACACTAGGTGGCCGTAATTGTGTCCATGTACTTCTCTTTGATCAAACAAACATACATGTGCTGTAAGGAGGATGTATACGAGAAAAACTTAAGAACAGTTACTGATTGTATGCGTGATCAAATAAAATAACCCACCCTCGAAATGATCTTTTGATGTCAAATAGAAAGTCAACACACACACTCACACAGAGGGAGAGAGAGAGAGAGAGAGAGAGAG